ACCAGGGGGCAGGGCTGGCTGGCATGTGGTGCTGGGGGATTGAACCGCGGTCCCTGATGCTTTTGCTAAGCTTGTTCTAAGTAGGTGCTTTAGACCACCGAGCCATCTCTCCAGCCCCTGATTTGCCCTTTTCAATCCTACAATGTTTCCCCGTTTGATAGAAAGCTAGGGGAAAGGATGTACCTCTTAAAAAAAATCAAAGATTAAGAGATCTTACCCTGAGATGTGTATACATAAAGAATCTCTGAGATTTGAAGTGTCTGTGGAGATTTCACAGCTTTCTCAGATTCCTGAAGAGGTCTTGTCCTCCAAAAGATTAGAAACACTTCTATAGGTACTCTTAGTAAATCGAAAAATCAATTCTCTTGACTCTAAGTCTTTAGTTTAAAAAGAGGCAGGAAGTTAAATCAATTGGTAATATAATACAAATCTTAATCTCAATAAAGATTTCCAATGAAGAATTCTCTCAATTTTCTTTCTTCAACAGTTTCTTACTTTCTGTTATGATGATAGCTGTTATTACAAGAACTATAATGTGTATTTGTATAGCACTATAGAGATATAAAACCCTCTTCGGTGTAGGATCTGATTAAAACTCCACAGTATTCCTGTGTGTAAATGTGTCCCAGCATTTGTGGTTGAAGAATTTGAAGCTTAGAGAGACTAAATCAGAGCTTTCATAATAGTCGACTAGAGACTTAGAGTCAAGGACCTAGGACTTAGGTCCAGGACCTTGGTTCCTTGATCCCAGGCTCTAAAATTAATAGCTATGGCACCCAGGCAAGATGGATGAGTTGTTACATGCCTATAATCTCAGCATTCAGGAGACTGAGATAGGATTGAGAGTTTAAAGCCAGGCTGAGCTACTTAATGAGTTTGGGGTCAGCCTGAATTTAGTGAGATTCCCCCAAGCAAAAACAAGCAATGAGAATAACAAAAACTTGCTATTAATTACCATATTTCTTTTTGCAAAGAAAGAGGCATTTGGAAGAAGTCTGTGCTTCCTTTAACCCAGGCTCTTCATAACACTTACTCTTAACACTGTTCTGTTGAATGTCTATAGAGAACTGCTTTTGTTTTCCTGGAGCACATGGTGGAAGGGTAGCCACGCAAGCAAGCAACTTGAGACCCACTGGTTATGTCTTCAGCACAACCCAAAGAGCCACAGAGAATAGTGGCTCTAACCAGTTCTAGATCTGGCTGATGGCCTCAGGCTTGGGGTTGGCTGGGTTAACTGTTTCAAGAACCTCAGTTCAAGGTAGTTTATATTATAGTCTTGGCTCCTTTTAGGGTAGTTGAAAAAACATCTACAAGATAACTTCTGTGTGCTGCAATTGGTGTCAGATTCAAAGGATCTGAAAATGCCAAAGATATAGCAAGGAGCTCCTGGCCTGAGCATCAGGTGGAGTCGTGTTTGAGGCTAAGGAGGAGCAGCAGGTCAATTTTTTAATTATGTAATTAGTTATTAAATTTCTTTAAGTATAAATGAGGAAACTTTACTCACTAGCCTGTATGATGAATTTTTTTGTTATTGTTCCCTCTGGGCAAGTAGGAGTTTTATTTAAGCTTAGTGGTTAGTGGCTAAGTTTGCTTGGCCTGCAAGTCTTGTTGATAGGTTTTATGGTAACTGAATTATAGAGCATGAATTCTGACTCTCTTGCCTCCAACATTTGGGAACATTTGCAAGTTCTGAATTTACTAGGTTCCCAAACTCATTAAAGGAGGGGGAGTTAGTAGTCTCTATTTTCTGTTGCTGCTTACTCAACTGTCTAGTTGTATTAAGTTGACATTGCGCTGAAAGTTTTCTTGAAGATACTTATTACGGAGCTAAAAACAACCTGGTTAATGTATTTAAACAATTCATCATTGTTACTTAATTCACTCTCTTAATTGTCAAGTCTTAGATTTTGCTCATCTTAGTTTTTCTTTTATTTTCCTAGCAAAAATACAAAGAAGACTATGAAAATAAAGTCAAAGGCAAATGGAGTGAGACACCTTGCTTTGAAATTGCGACTGCCAGAATGAACGCTGACAACCTCAGCACAGTGAGTAGGAAGAGATAGCCAGATGCCCCGCGAGAGACCTCTTTCCTTTATGACTCCAGTTGTCCCGAACACCCAAGGCCCCTCTTGTCAGGGGTGAGAGACTTGATGCAGAATGCCTATTAAAAAAGAAATTCCAAAAACCTTTTTTCTTGAAAATATTACTTTGACCAATTTTTATTATTTTGACCTCAACTTTCACAGGAACAATGTGGTGACAACCTCTTAATGATTGCAAAATGCAATTAGTGGGAAATAAAGCACATCTTTTTATTATTTGCCTAGGGAACCAAACGGTATATTTGTAAAAATGATTAATGCAGCTAGCACCATTTCACTGGCAATCAGAAATGAAACTTTGCTTGCTTTCTTTCTTTCTTTCTTTCTTTCTTTCTTTCTTTCTTTCTTTCTTTCTTTCTTTGAAACTTATTTCCTCCCTCCCTCCCTTCCCTCCCTCCCTCCCTCCCTCCCTCCCTTCCTTCCTTCCTTCCATACCAGGGATCAGACTCAAGACCTTGCACTTGCCAGGCAGGCGCTTACACAACTGAGCTATCTCCCCAGACCTTTTGCTTTTTCTTTCTCTCTTACTTTTCTGCTCTTGGACTTCAAGAGCTCTTTCCTAGTAGGCAAAGAAGGCTTTCTAATTGTTCCTGTAGCCCATTCAATGTTTCCAAATCTCTGAAAAATTGCTAGTTAGTTTTGCGATGGCACCACAACCTCTAAGTTTAATCTGATCCACTGAAGCCCAGCGGGTATGGCTCTGAATCCGTCTCCAAATGCCTGTTCTCCTCTTAAACCCATGCAGTTTGTTTCCACAGAAGTTCTTGTGTTTAATGTCTTACAGAGGAAATATCAGGAAGATTTTGAGAACATGAAAGACCAGATCTACTTCATGCAGACCGAAACGCCAGAATATAAAATGAATAAACAAGCTGGGGTGGCAGCTAGCAAGGTATGAGGAAATTGTCCCATTGATTTTGATGGTTTTAGTGGCATGAATTGCAGAGAATTCTGGCTCTTGTATATAATTAAAGAAAGAAAGGGAGATGGTTTCAGCTGAGACCAGTGGAGCCTAGGCATTTGAAGAATAAAATGAAAACAGCAAGAACAACAAAAGTACTTTGGAATTGTAATAGGCCGACAGATTTTCTTTGGTCACGACTGAGTATGATAACCCTTAGTTATCATCTACAGTATTTTTTATTATCACCAACAGCATTTCACAGAATAAAGAGCCTTTTGCTACTGAGAAGTAGAAAGGCTGTCATCTAAGCTAGCAGAGCTTCTTCTGCCAGGAAAGAAAAGATACCTCATAAGAAAGTACAAGCCCCACACCCTGTGGAATGGCTTTGGTAAGCATCAGACACCATGGCACTCTAGAGTGAGGTGCTTCTTAGGAAAACCATACACTGAGAAACCAAGCACATTTAGTTCTAATTCTTGCCAGACCCTGGGCATTATCAGAAGAGAGAATGCAGGAAGATTACACCACTTAGGAAGCTAGTATAATATCCAGGTACAAGACAATGGTGTTCAAACTCGGGAGTAGCAAAGCAAGTGACAAGAAGTATTGTGAAAGTAGAGCTAGCCTGGTTTTCAAATGGATCGGGTATGGGATGTAAGATAGAGGTTTTGGTATCCAGCTAGATAGATGGGGCTTCCCTCTTTTTTCTTTTTAATTTTTCTTAAATGTTTATTATTTATTTGGTACAGGGTCTTGCTATGCAGCTCAGACTCATAGTGATCCTCCTGTCTCAGCCTCCCCAGCATTGGGATTACAGGTGTGTGCCACCACACCTGGTTTTTGGGTGGCATGGCACACCTGGGTTTCCAGAACCAGCATGGCATGCAGTACCATGGATCTAACCTCAGTCATTGCACTTTCCAAGCAGGTGCTTAGACCACTAAGCATTCTCCCAAACTCAGGTTTCCCTCTTTGAGATAGGAAAGACTGGAAGAAGTAGGTACTTTTCTTGGAGGTGAAATGGGGACTCATCTTTAGCCATGTAAGATTTGAGATTCCTTCTAGATATTCAAGGAAAAATGTCAAGTGGTTAGTTGGCTGTAGGGAAATTTCAGCTGAATATATAGATAAGAGACCCAACACTGGGCTCCGATCTGCTGCCAAGTGTTACAGTGCACAGTGAAGAGAAAGGCTATTTGTGCCTCCCATGCCACGGACTGTACCCTGTCATACTCTGTGTAGGCTGTAGAGTCAGTGCATCTAAGTTACAGTTGAGTATCTCATATCTGTGAATACTAAGCTTGTTGACAGGTTTCTGAAGTTCTTAAATATTGGAAAACTATCTAGGATTCCTCCAATTTTATGGTTATTCTGTCTGAAAGTATGGTTTATAATAGGGATCATGGTCAGAACCAGTGTCAGCTTCTCATTCTATTACCTGTGTACACTCTCCTGATAGGGCCTTACTCCTGCGTGCACACACATACACACACCCCACATGGACTTTACGCTCCTGCCCTTGCTGGAATTGAAAGGGTGGCAGACAGCAGAGAAGGACTCAGTGAGCTGCTGCCATTCCTCCCAGCCCAGCTCCTTCCTCCCCTTCCTGCTTGCACAATAAATATGTGCATGTGTAGCACACAGGTGCAGGTGGGCCTGAAAGGGAAGGTTGATGGTGCTTCTGGTTTCTGTCCTTTAAATATGCGCTGGAAGATGGGCAGCTGGGTGAAAATTCCACGGCAGTAGGCTGCGATGGGTGGATATTATTTGTGTGTCTTTTCTTCTCCCACTGTTTATATATCTTTGTCTGAGGGCAGGGACTGTGTGTTATTCTTTATTGTCTCTGTCTCAGAGTCAGGCACATAATTAACTCCCTGCAGATTTTTTTCAATGAATAAATGAATGAGAAGAAAAGGTATCCTGAAGATTTATGCAAATATCTCTGTTGCTGCGACTATGAGTTACTATGAGTATTTTGCTCACAAAATGTCAAGCTGCCATTTTCCTAAAGAGAAAATTGAATTGTGAAGCTATGTTATAATAGTCATAATGGAAATGAGGACAGAAATAACCTGCAGAGGTTCTCTATCACTTTGTTTCATCTTATAGGTAAAATATAAAGAAGATTATGAAAAAAATAAAGGAAAAGCAGATTATAATGTACTTCCTGCCTCAGACAACCCACTGCTCAGGCAGTTGAAGGCCGCTGGAAATGTCCTGAGTGATGTGAGTGTATTCTTCTTAAAAAGCATTTTTTAAACCTTAGCTGCAAGAGAGATGAAGTTTTTCTCCTTCAAAAATGACTACATGTATATACAATTTTGCAAATACTTTATGGTTATGGAGTAGCAATTTCATTGGAGCTACCTAAGCACAGGAAGACTGAGAGCCTCTGACTATGATTTTCGAGGCTTGAGGGTTTAGTTCCAGGCTTGAGGGCAGGAAAAATCTCATCTGTATATGAGCTCTGGATTTTTTTGGCCTCTGAGTGGTCAAAGAGTACATTGTATAAGTGTTGGGATTCTGACCAAAGCAGAGGTTGAAATGTAAACCTTAGTGCCTGAAAACATCACTTGAAGATTATGGGACTTAAAAGTTGGCTCCCTGCAGCTTCACAGGAATTGCTACTTTTCACTTGTGGAATGGCTAAACTCCTGCCTATGCCAGTGGGTGTAAAACAGATTAGGTAAATAAGTGCTGGCCTGGTATTAAAGATGAACGGCCCAAGACAAGGAACCACATAAACACACACACATACACATGTGCACACAGAGACTGAATGTGTGATTCCTTCAGAAGTTTCCTCCGGTTAGACTGTATTAAACCTTCTCAATGGCTGAGGACCTCGTAGCTTGCTGAGTGGGTTAGTCACAATCTCTTTTTTACCCTGGAAATAAGTCAGGGTAATGCACGCATTTAATTTGGGCATTGGGAGGATGATGTGGCCCACCAGCAGGTGGGAATGGATCTGTCTAAATAGCTCTGCTGGGAAATCAATGCAAAGCGTTCTGCTTTTTGAATGAAGGACACCTTTTTCAAACATAAAATCCCACGTTCTAACCTACTTTGTTGGCAAAAACAGGACTAGAAACATTGAAAATGAAAAGAATCATTTAAATTTTGAAAACGCAACATGAAAAAGTAGCCATGATCTCCTTTCTCAGCTGTGTGCATAAAACCAAAAGCAGTAATTGGTTAATGTTCAAGCCAAAGATAAATCCCATTGAAGAAGAGTTAGCAATGCCTTGTAGTTTGCATTCTCATATAACATTTATATTTAAGGAAAATTGTTTGTATCATGAAAGTCCCCTCACCTTGGCACAAAGTAGAAGAGCAACAGTGCATTTATTAATTTATATTCATTGTTTCACATTTTGTTTCTTAAACAACTTGCTCTTCCTCAAGGCCTTCTTGTTTGCTGTGACCTCATTAGTGAGGGAGCACGTTAAGAGAAACAAAGAGGCTGAGACACATACAAGTAGTTCCAGTGAATGGCTTGGTCAGAAGTGGCACAACCTCTTTTTTTTTAACTTCTTAAAAATGTTAAACACTTACACTCTATAATAATTGTTACTAGGAAAGACTCAGGATTCTTGACACCCTATGTTTGTCGGTTGTTAAGAGAGTTGACAGACAGTATCTTTTCTTTTGTTTAGTATTGGAAAAATACAACTGCTATATTCAGTGTGGGAGTACAGGAATCTACTTTAACTGATTTTTCTTCTTTGACAGAAACTATACAAAGAAAACTATGAAAAGACAAAGGCAAAGAGCATAAATTACTGCGAGACCCCCAAATTTAAGCTCGATACAGTTTTACACAACTTCAGTAGTGATGTGAGTAATCCTGCCGTCACCCTCATGTTAAAAAAGACCTGTCACTTAATAAATAATTTAATCAAACAATAAATGAAATATATTTTATCTTTCAGACCAAATATAAAGATTCCTACTTAAAGAATATTTTGGGACACTATGTGGGCAGTTTTGAAGATCCTTATCATTCACACTGCATGAAAGTCACAGCTCAAAACAGCGATGTAAGTTCTGAGATAAGTTTAATTTCCAGAATAACAGATTTTGGGGCATGAACATGGTGGTAGCAGCATACACTGGATTTGTTTCACCTCACAGAAAAACTACAAAGCAGAATATGAAGAGGACAGAGGCAAAGGCTTCTTCCCTCAGACCATAACTCAGGAATACGAAGCAATCAAGAAGCTGGATCAGTGTAAAGACGTAAGTCTGTAGGAATAACTGCAAGTGTTGGGGCTCTGTATAATGTCTAGTGGCCAAGATATATTTAAAATTCTGATATTTTACAGATAAATATAAATAAGGAAACTGTAAAAAATAAAATTTATCTTGTAGTAGATGTACTGGGTACCTCTATATTTCTTTTTTTTATGTATTTAGTACAGGGTCGACAGGGTCCCACTAGGTAGATCAGACTCATAGTGATCCGACTGTTTACAGCCTCCCAAGAGCTGGGATTACAGGTGCGCACCACCATGCCCAGTCTCAATCGCCACCTGAGTGCCTCGGGGGCAGGGCCAGCACAGGATGCTAGGGATCAAACCCCGGCTGCTCAGTGGCATAAAGCCTGACTAGCAAGTGCAAGGTCCTGAGTTTGATCCCCAATACCGCAAAAAAAGGGAAAAAAAACCAATAAGTATTTTATTAACTACCAGTTTTACTTCTTTGAGGAGATTGCTGTTGCTCTTGCTTGGCTCAAAGGCCACCTGAGATTTGGCAGGAATTACTAAACTACACTCCTTGCCCTCCCACAGCACACCTACAAAGTCCCTCCAGATAAGACAAAGTTCACTCAAGTGACCGACTCTCCCGTCCTGGTACAAGCTCAAGTCAATTCCAAACAACTGAGTGATGTAAGTTTCTCAGAATATCCAGGAAATGTACTTATGAGGGAAAACATTTACACATACAATCCAATTTGTGTGTGTGGAGGGGGGTGGGTGGATGGGTGGCATCCAGAACCTCCTGCTTCCTAAACTGCTCTACCAACAAGCTACTCCCCAGCCCAAAACATCCAATTTTTTGTTACATTTATAAAAAGGCTATGTAAGTTTTAGCGAGTTCAACTTATATACTTTGTAATCACCTAAAATATTTTTCCATTTGATTTCTTTGAATCTTGTTAAGTAGGTAGCACTTTTGGTAAAATTTTTCCCTGATGGAAATTAATAGAGCTTAAAGCATTGAAAAGAATGAGTTCTAGAGTCAGACAAAACTTCCAGCTCTGTCACTTATGACCAGCTGGCCAAATTATTTGACCTCTCTGAGTCTCGTATTATCTGTTTGCAGTTTGTGATGGTTTTGAAAATGAGATGTGTGTTACTACGCCCTGTGGCCAGGAGTAGATATTCAACATACGAGATTTCTCTCTTCCTAAAAAAGTCTTTGGAAAATAGAGACATCATCACAAATTTTTTTACATAAATTTAGAGTATAGATTTTAAAACTTACATTTAATACCACAGATAAAAATAAAAGTAATCTTACAAATCTATGGCCAGAAGTAAAAGCTTCAATCAGAGCATCACCAACAGTGATGTGTATGTGAGCTACAGAAACGATTCACTAGTGGCCATTGACCACGCATAGAAAGGCAGGTGTGTGTCGCAGAATCTCCAGGGCCAGTTGTGATACGCATAGCAGTGAAAGAGCCACCTTTTTCTGGTAGTGTCCTACCGTGGTGACACATGTGGTAACAAGTGTCCAGAGTCCAGCATGCAAGTTCAGTGATACACGTATCCTACTTAGCCTCTGCATATTTCTTTCATTTATTTATTTTTGTTGCTGTTTGTCCTATTGTCTTATTTCCTTGGTTTTTAGAGGCAGGATATCACTATGTAGTTTGGGTTGATATTGAACTCACTATGTAGCCCACGATGGCCTCAAATTTACAGCCATCCTCCTGCCTCAGCCTCCCCAGTTGTGGCTTACAGGCAGGTGCCACCGTGCCTGGCTTGGATTTCTCTTTCGATCTGAGCAACTTTGCCAGTTACTTCACAAAACACACCAGACAAGAGAAGGCTCTTTTTTTAAAAAAAAAAATATTTTAAACTAATTGATTCACCTTCTTTCTGCCCACTTCCTCACTGCCTTTCTCTCTTTTAGCTAAATTACAAAGCAAAACATGAAAATGAGAAGTTCAAGTGCCACATACCTCCGGATACTCCTGCCTTCATCCAGCACAAAGTCAATGCCTATAATCTGAGTGATGTAAGCTCCTCGCGTACCGCACCATGTAATACAGTGGCTCGGCACAGTGCAATGTATATTTTAATGTTAAAGACGGAAGGAACTGTTAACATTTATGTCATATTCCTATATCTCTGCCAATGTGACATAGGATTCACCTTATAAAATGTGTAGCAATCTTGTACCTAATTTCTTTCACTTAAACAGTCTTGACATGTTTTAACCAATATTCAAAATACTACCATTCATGTATGGTTAATAGCAGGTTTTTTTTTAAACTCTGTTTCTTTCTTTTTTTTAATTAATTAATTTATTTATTTATTGTGTGTGTGTGTGTGTGTGTGTGTGTGTGTGTGT